GCGTGACTGATGCGCTTTCTTCTGGTCCCCCCAATTTCCCGTTGCTAGTGAATAAGCAAGTCCTCGAGTGATCAGGGGTGTCTTCACGCATAAATCGAGCATGAAGTCGCCATTTTTGTTGATGTATTTCTGCGCTGTCAAACGAACCTAAACAAGCCGCAAACATCACTTAAACAAAGTCGTCACTGACCTTGAAAGCTTTCACATATGCGCAATTACATGAAATATCGAACTTTGTTATGCCAGTATCCCAGTACTAAATTCCCTCTATTATCTCAGTTTTAACAAAAAATTACAATACTATACGATAAATTTATTCATTGAACGTATGGCTAAGGAAATAGCCATTGGTTTACAATGTTATTGAAGAAGGCAGCATACTTTCGCGGCCAACTCTAAAAAGTTTTCGTAAAATAAGTTCACTCACCTCTTTCAACAAATTCCTAAAAAGCGCTCGAAATAAGAAGGCCAACAACGGTCCAGCCAGATCTAGTCGTTTGTTGCCCATGTGATCACGGTCGTCCAACTCCCGGCGTCCAAGTGCTGCCAGTAGCAGTCTGTGAACCATATAGCCAAGGAAGTACTGCAAGTAAAAAACACAACTCTTCGACAACTTTAATTCATCGCCATAAAAATTTCACGCTTTTTGGATTAAGATCAGCAGGGCATTCCCCTGTGCGCAGCAATGTTAATCCCTTCTGTATTCAACTGCGCTCCCAAAAAATGACGAGGCCCGCATGATCATTCCAAGATGTGACACCAGCTATCTCGCAGCTGGGCGCCAAAGCTATCAGAAGAAGCATCCCACCGCTGGTGCCTGTTACAAAATCGCTCGAAAGACTATTAGCAAATGGGTAGAAGAAACGCATGAGCAGCGAAACGAGGCTCAGTTAAATCCAATACTCCTCTCCGGCGAATTTAAAGAAAGAACGCCAGGACACGATCATCCCCACCATCAACATGGTCAGCGTAGCGATCGGACGATGCAGTCTCGGGCAAAACAACAGCTGCTGAACTAGTTGTGTTGGTGCCACGACGAAACAACAGCTGATTAAAATATTAAATTTGACCAGGCACCAACCGCTTTCTTCGTCTCGCAAAAGTCCGAGATGCCAACATGAGGGAGCATTTCTTTTTGCAGTATTTCCTTGGCATACTTGATACGCTGCTCTTTTGTTACGCCAGGCTTTGCGCCACGTGCGCCAATAAAATTCAGTGCAACATTTTGCTCCTATAAAAATAGCCAAAAATAAAATAATGCTAAAATCCTACGCTAAAACGGCAACTGTGCAAATTCGAATAATCAATTAAACGGCGCAAAACAAATTAATAAATCGAAATATTTAGTTACAGCGCGTACATTCCGTGTCACATCGCTTCCTGTCAGCGACCAGGACCATCGCACTGGGAGTCAGTGAGGATATTCAATGTAATATCACTCAGATGAAGAGGAATGCCTAAGCTTTCTTTCCGAAAACGTCTGACTGTTTACATGCACAACGAGACGCTTCAAGTATCCTTCTCTCGTAATATATAGTACTTTTGGGGCAACCACTACTACTCCTTGCCTAGTTAAAAACATCAGCTTTACTAATTTGTGCAGTTTAATTATAAACTTATCAAAAATACCGGGGTCGTCAGGGCAAGTAGTGCGAAAGCCAGTGGAATTGTTGGGATGCTCTCAACTGCCGGGTTCAGCTATGCTAAGCCTTTCAAATTATGAACCGTTTTAGTTCATAGTCAAAAATTTCACTGTATTTCAGACTTAATGAAAGACAGAGGCACTCGAAAATAGCTCTGATTTTGCCAGCAATCACCATCTGATAAAGCTGTCAAAGGCTCTTTCCCTAAACCTATTTTTGAAAGGCAATTTAAAAACGACTTGTTTCTTTGGCTAGCTTCATAAACAATACAAAAAGGATAAACCTGTATGACAAAAGCTTCGTC